GCGGCCGCAGTGTTTCTGAGGGGGAGCTGAGCCCGCAGCTGGCTGCAGCTCGGCCGCGCTGCGCTTCGTGGGTGTAATCCTGCCTGCTAACCAGATTAGAGCTCAGAACTAACTAGATTACCAGGGTTTTAAGGCGCTTCTGCCACGCTCTGCCTGTGCGCGCGGGAGCTTCTCACAAGCCTTCTGGTCTGCAGCGCACACAAAAAACCCGGATCTCCTGGGATCTGCTGTGTGTTCGGGAAGGTGCGGGATGCTCGGCGGGCTGGTGCCAGGTAGCCAAGCTGCCCCGGGGCGAGCGTGGTGAGCGCAGGGACGTGGCCGCTCGGCACAGGCTGCTGCCGGCTGCTCATCCAGGGTGACTTGAAGTGACCCGCAGCAGCCAGTACAGGGGGGCCTGAAGGCTGCGCGAGGCCAGGAGCTGGAGGAGTCTTAAGTTCAGCCTCCTGTTGTCCCCTGTTCCTCTGGTATTAATGCTGAGCGAACCCCTCCTGTCCCCATTAAACCTCCCCTGGAGGCAAATGAGGACGGCCCATAGGTTTAAGCTAATTAAGTTTATTTTTTCTTTTTTCCCTAGTTGCAGGAAGGGCACCTGATGGTCCGGCATTTCCAGTACCTCCGGTGGTCACCCTATCGGGACACCCCAGACTCCAAGAAGTCCTTCCTGCACCTCCTGGCCCAAGTGGAGAGGTGGCAGAAGGAGAGCGGTGACGGGAGGACAGTCGTGCACTGCCTGTGAGTGACTCCCGTCAGCTCTCTGGGCTCTAGTCCTGCTGGGACAACTTCTGAAAAGCCCCCAAGAGGGACATTTCCCACCTAGGTGAAAATTAAACCACTTTGAACCACGTAGTTTGGGAGAGTTGAAGCACCAAAGTTCCTTTCGCTCGCTGGGGTGCTCAGTAGAAATGATACCCACTCACACAGAGCAGCACCTCATCCTTTGCACCACGTCTCCCTTTGCACGGATGCCAGATGTGTCACCAGGTCCCACGCATGCACGGGGTGACAGGAGCTGTGCAACCAGCCTCCTGCTCCTTGCTAAGGCTGCGGTGTGCTCTGCCTCCCCCTCGTCCTCGCCGGCCTGGACGTGCTCGCGCACGTGCCCGCTTTCCTCCTGTGGGACCCAGCACGTTCTCAAAGCGGGAGAGGCAGCAGGCAAGCCTTTAATCAAAAATTAATTACAGCCTTGTCCATCATCGTTAGCTGAAGGATAATTTGCGAACACGCGTTACAAAATGCCAGCGTCACGTGCTCCCTTCCTCTCCTCCGTCCTCCTCGGCTGCTGGGGGAGCAGGCGTGGGCAGATCGGGTGATTTCACTCCAAGAGCAGCGGAGATGCCCTGGGAGCCTCTGTGCTGGGCAAAACACGGGACGGGGCCGTGTCCGGTTCCTGCAGCCAGCGCTCCCTGGGGGTTATGAGTTCTGCAGACAGCACAGAGACACCCTGCGGATGGGGAGGATCCCAGAGGACCAGGCGTCCTCCGCAAGGTCACACGAGGAACCATGTCATGGCAGGGCTAGGAGCTGAACCCAGCTGCCAGAGCCATTAAAATCCCAAAGCTTTCAGATGTGGGTGGTTCTCTCCCCTCTCACGCTGCGTTTCTCCCACCAGGAACGGGGGTGGCCGGAGCGGCACCTTCTGTGCCTCCACCATGATCCTGGAGATGATCAAGTGTCACAACATGGTCGATGTTTTCTATGCTGCAAAGACCCTGCGCAACTACAAGCCAAATATGGTAGAGACCTTGGTAAGCGTTGGACACCGGCAGCCTCATCCCGCTCCCTCCGTCCCTGTCCTGGTCCCTCGTGGCCTTTCCCTTGGAAAAACCACTGGGGGATACTTGTCCCTGCCCCACACTAACAGCTTGTGTTTTTAAGTGTTTTTAAGTATTTTAAAGGCATTTGCCCGTAGCCTTTCTCCATTCCCTGCCATGCAGGAGCGGGAAAAGCCTATGCCTTGTTGCTGGCTCACCCTGTCAGGATGGAAGAGAGGGAAGGCATGTGGCCATCCCTCCTTTTCCTGTGGAGGAATCCAGGTGCCTTATGGTGTTTTGAGAGCAAGTCAGCCAGAAATGTTTGCCCCATTTGGATTATAAAAGCTCTAAGTTGCAAAATGAAATGGTTTTCCGGGGGATGTGACTTGCATTAGGAATTAAAGTGCAGGGAGAGAGCGAGGGGGGGCACAGGGAGGGCTGCATGTAATCAGAAATGAAGTGACAAGCGTGAAGTGACCGGGCCCATTGGCTAAATTGCGAGGGTATTAAAAAAGCAACGTTCGGGCTGAGCACGCGAGCGTCCCCCGGCCTGGCATGAACCTGGATGTCCGTCCCGGGCGCCCCAGCGTGAGGGAGCGGCGGGTCCCGGCGCGGAGCAGCCGGAGCGTCGCTGCTCCGCGCTCACCCGGCCTGAGCACCTTCTCCTGCTGCCTGCCCCGGGGTTTAGCTCTGTATTATAGTAAATGGAAACAATCCCTTGTCTTAATCCGAAAGCATTATGTGCTTTCCCTATCAGCTGTCACAGCTTCCTGGCTTTGAAGCCCTTTTCCCCAGGTCCCCAATGGGCTGCCCACCCTCCCGGGTGAGTCCCGGGGGCTCCTGCGGCTGCTGGGGTGGCCCAACACCTTTCCGGTGGCAATAAGGGAAAATGCAGCTGATCCTGTCCCAAACCTCCTTTTCTCCCTGTCTTCTTTCCACTCCTCCATTTTGCTTGTTGGAGGCTTGAAGGGAGGACCAGGATTTCCGAGGGTGGATGGAGAAGAGCTTGGCATTCCCAGGAGGTGCAGAGATGGGGACACCCTTGCCCCAAACAGCAAGGCACTCCCACACTCAGCCTTGCATTTTCCCGCAGGACACTTGGTTTTCAGCAGACGGAAGGGAAAAGCAGGGACTGGGAGAAAGGGAAAACTCCCAACCCATTTTCTCCCTTCCTCTTTCCCCTCAAGGCGAACACCCAAACGCAGCAGCTTCACATGCCAGGAAGGGAAAGCAGCAGTTTTCTTGCTGCAGCAGTGACACTCGTAATGACAACGGTTCCTGGCAGCTCCGGGCAGGGTGTTTCCGCGGGCAGCAATTCCCTGGTAATCCGGAGCCCGGACCACGGAATCAGCCAGGTCAATGCACTCGCATGGGTGCAAAAGCTGGTTGTAACTTGGATCGAACTCAGGAGTTAAACTGCCCCTGGTTTCAGAGCTGGGGTTTTACTCTGGAAACCCCCCAGCCGCTTTCCCTGTGAAAAATCAGGATGTAGCAAGTGGAAGGCTGAGACTGCAGTAAAATCTTTGCATTCCAGGGGACCTGGGGCTGTTTCTCTCCATTTAGTGGGGAGCCTCCAAATTCTGGGGGTTTTCCTTAGGGCCGTGCGACTCCGCGTGCCCTGGCGAGGGGCAGCGCGGCGCTCGGCGCGGCCTCACCGCGCGCTCTGCTCTCCCGGCAGGAGCAGTACCACTTCTGCTACGACCTGGCGCTGGAGTACCTGGAGGCGCTGGAGACCAGATAGCAGCTCGCCGCGGAGCGGGGCCGGTGCTCGCGCGGGCGTCGTGCCCAGCTGCGTCTGCACGCGGACGTCGAGCTTGCGCCGGCGGCGAGGAGGGGAAACCGGCCAAGGACAGCGAGAAAAACCTAAAATGGAGCGAGAAGCGAAAGGCAGGATGTGGGGACGGGCCGTTCCTGGCCCTCGTGCTCCGCTCTCCGTCCTCCTTCCGTCCCTCGGACGCGGGTCGGATGCTGGGACTCACCCATCGCCGCAGCCAGGACGTGGATCCTGGCAGTGGATTCGGTGCACGGGCTCCCCTGAAGCTGGAGACCGAGGAAGAGGCCGCGGGATCCTGAGCCCGTTTTCCAGCAAGGGCACGATGGATATTCAGAGATGGGGCCGCAGTTTTTTAATAGCCCGTGGAGTGGAGGCTGCTCTTCGGAGGAGCCCGCGAGGAGCTGGCAGGACCTGCCCCTGCTCTGCAGCCAGGACCCTGCGAGGAGTTTTCTGAGTTTCGCCCCGAACTAACCACGAGTTCGAGCTTCAGCCTCGTGTTCCTGCGAGTTGCCCCCACCTTGGGCACCCAGCCCTGGCTGCGGGGTGGGTGCGAACGCGGGGACGGCGCGCGGAGCCCGAGGAAACACCGCTTCCCCTCGGCTTGGCCGCTCCCGTGCGCTGCTCGACACCCGCAGCGCTGAATTCCTGAACGAATCCAAGAGAAAAACAGGAAATTTGGGTTGCCGGCTGCCCCTTTGCCCTGGCTGCAGGTTCTGTCCCCCCGGGATGGGGACGGGCCGGGGGGCCGAGG